TTTTTTTTTTTTCACGACTCTTCTGCTTTGTATACGTATTTCGTCATAAAGGCACAGCACATTTCGGCTTAAATCGTTGTCGCCGCGCTTGCCCATTCGCAGCGGAAGATACTCGCAGCTAAAAGCGGAATTTTCTAGGTGGAGGACAGCAAATGCGCATAAATATGGCACCTCAAGGAGAAGGTCGCCGTCACGCGCAAGTACTGGAACGCGCATCTCCCACACGAGAAGTGGCAGAGCACAGAAATATTTTGATTATTGTTGTTTGTGATCTTTTCCTGAAAGAATTCTTTTAGCGAAACTGTTGAAATTGGAGTGGTGCTAATCGGAGGTGTCGGAGTGAGCGTCTTTCAGCACATCGAGAAAGGAGAAGCCGAGGAATTTGAAACACTCGGAGTGAAAGTAATTACTTGTGCCAGTTATTCTGAACGCATTTTGCTGAAAAGTAAACACTTTCTTAGGAAAGAGGAAAAATACTGCATGTGGGATTTGCAGAACTGGGTGGCGGCAAATTGCATTGGAACGGATATGCTTAAATTCCGCATTGGTGCGAAGAATCACTCACATTTGGAAGCACACAAAAACACCTTCAAGTAGGTTCTTCTGATCTGTTTGCCTTTCAACATCCACATCTTCTGTAGGTTCTTCTGATCTTTCCTGCTAGTGTCAAGGGCATTATCAGTTCTAGGTACATATTACGCTGAAAGTATAATTGGCCCTACCTGCAAATCTCAGCAGTTTTCTGATAATGCTTCTACTGCCGTAGATACGTATACGTATTCTAAGATCTGTTTTTTGACTTCACTTCAACAGAAATGTATAGATCCGACAGTCTGTAAGACTTTATTTCCGCGTCCCCTATTCCTCCCCCCTCCCTCTCTCCTTTCTCCCTCCCTCACATTTTACGTTGTTTTCGTTCTTGCTTCATCAGCAACTTATTGTCGTCCCAAGAGATGCAAGGACATTCGCTCAGAACGTTTCCAAGTGTTGTTATTTTTTACTATTATGTTAAGCTGAAATACTCGAAACGAATTTCTTTTTTTA